TAACTTGAACTCATTTCAGTGATCTGTTTAATGAAATAATGTCATGGCAAATCTCAGTTTGACTGAAGCTCATTTTAGATGATCCTTCCTGGATTTCCTCTAAAGCATGAATATTTAATATTTCAAAGGAACTTTCTAGGGAATTCACCATTCAAAGAACTATGGTAGGGAAATTAAAGTCTCCTTGTGCACTGGCAGCTTTCTCAATATACAAGTGTTTCCTCCTGGCTGTATTTTAGTTTCTAGCAGACACCTGCAAGCCTCCTGCATAACAGGATCAGCATGTTTTGGAGTCCGTTAGAAGTCATGGGAGACCAGAAAGGGCATTCTGAGTTAAACATTGTTTTCTAAAATTCTCACTTTGAATTCAGCCTGAAGTAGGTTGCAAAGTGTCTTTTAAGAGACTTTGAAGTGGTAAGCACAGTTCTTTAATAACTGTAAAAGAATTGTGAACAGAAATACTTCATTCATCTTCATTCGCTTGAAATAGTACAAGTGCTTCTGTGTTCAGTACTGTGCTTTTGCTGAAAAGGCTTAACAAAGAACCTGGTGGTTTTTCTTCAAGTTTGATACACTGTTGATGTACCAGGAGTAAAAATGAGCTGTAATGTAAGTCTTTGTGGCACCAAACTTCCTGTTGTCTGAAACTGTACAGCAAATGTTTTGCCCTACTTTTAGCTAAGGAGGTAAGTTTTACAAGATGGGAAGATAGTGATAGGCTCATTACGTAAGAATTTCCAAATTTGCCTTTTTGCTTCCAAGTTGTCATTAATTTTCAAGTGAAATAGCAGGAAAATTTATATAAAGGATTATGTGGCAAGGATTATTAATGTGAAGTGAAACTAAACATTCGTTTTTTGCAAAAAATACCTATATATGTGAGTGTTCACACATAGCATAATGTCCATTGAGGTACAGTTTCTGAAAGTTACGCATTTACTTTCCTTATGTTGTTAAATGAATTTATGTTGTGACTGCATCCTATAGTTGATGACTAATATTTTAAATGTCTTATGGCATGTTGGAGTATAGAGTGATGCACCTATAAAATGAAGAGGGAAAACATGTTTTAAGTGCTTTCAGGAACAACACAATGTTCCATCTTTGCAACAAAACACAGAAACTGACCTAATCAGAATCATAGAATCATTGAGGCTGGAAAAGACTTAAAAGGTCATTGAATCCAACTATTAACTGGTGTTATTTAGCCTGTAGAAAAAGAGACTGAGAGGAGACCTTATTGTTCTCTACAACTCCCTAAAAGGACGTTATAGAGAGGTGGAGATGGTTCTGTTCAACCAAGTAACAAGTGACAGGACGAGAGGAAATGGGCTCAAGTTACACCAAGGGAGGTTTAGATTGGATTTTAGAAAGAATTTATTTACTAAAAGGGTTATCAGGCATTGGAATGGGTTCCCCAGGGCAGTGGCAAAGTCCCCATCCCTGGAGGTATTTAAGAGTCCTGTGGACATAATGCTTAGGTATATTTGAGGACTTGACAGCCTTAGATTAATGGTTTGACTCGATGATCTTAAATGTCTTTTCCAGTCTAGGCAATTCTGTGATTCATAGCACTGCCAGTCATTCCACTAAACAATGTCTCTAAGCACCATGTTTACACACGTTTTAAATACCTCCAGGGATGATGACTCAGCCACTTCTCTGGGTATCCTGTTCCAATGCTTGACAACCCTTTCGGTTCAGAAATTTTTCCTAATACCCTGTCTGAACCTTCTCTGGGGCCATTTCCTCTGGTCCAATTGATTGCTACGTGGGAGAAGAGACTGACCTCTGCCTTCCTGCAACCTGCTTTCAGGTAGTCAATAGAGAGCAACAAAATCTGTGAGCCCTCTTTTCTCTAGGCTAAACAACCCCAGGTCCTGCTGGCCACGCTATTTCTGATACAGGCCCGGATGCTGTTGGCCTTTGTGGCCACCTGGGCACACTGCTAGCTCATGTTCAGCTGGCTGCCAACCAGCACCTTAATTCTACCTTAAGAAGAAAACTGCTGCAGTGGTAGAATCCTAGAATCATGGAACAATTCAGGTTGGAAAAGACCTGTGGGATCATCAAGTCCAACCATTGACCCTACACTACAAGTTCACCCCTAAACCACATCACCCAACACCACATCTGAACGACACTTGAACACATCCAGGGATGGTGACGCAACCCCCTCCCTAGGCAGTCTGTGCCAGGGTCTGACCACTCTTTCCGTGAAGAATTTCTTCCTAATGTCCATCCTAAACTTGCCTTGTTGCAACTTGCAACCATTCCCCTGGTTCTGTCCCTAAATACCTGTGAGAAGAGAGCAGCACCAACCTCTCTGCAATGTCCTTTCAAGTAGTTGTAGAGCATGATGAGATCCCCCCTCAGCCTCCTCTTCGTCAAACTGAACAGACCCAGCTCCCTCAATCACTCCTTGTAAGATCCATTCTCCAGGCCCTTCACCAGCTTTGTTGCCCTCTTCTGCACTTTCTCCAACACCTTGAGATCTCTCTTACACTGAGGTGATCGAAACTGAACACAACACTCATAGAATCATAGGATGGCTTAGGCGGGAAGGGATCTCAGAGATCATTTACTCCACCCTCACTGTCATGGGCAGGGACAACACTTCCAAAAGTTTGGAATGGTGACTCAAACTAACCTCTCAAGCCACCAACCAGCTCGTAAAAGTGACAGAACAGGTTTTCTTAGCAGGACAAGAATCACCTTTTCATCTTGAAGTACTGAGTGCAGATTTTTTTTAAATAGAATTTTCAAGAACATCTGAATTACACTGGAATTTGGGAGCATGACTCCAACTCTGCATTCCTAAGCTAGTGTTAGGTTAACCTCTTCAGGTACTGGTCACAAATGCTGAAGCCTCTACAACACAGCGTTTGAACGGATCTCAGGAGGTCATCTAACCCACATGGTATGATGAGCACTAGTTAAATCATTCCTGTCTAGATAAGACATCCCTGAAATACGAATGTGGTTACTTTGCTCCTGAGATGATTATTGCTATTAACTTTCACCAAGTCCCAGCTGCTGTAGTTGGAGTGCCAGCAGTACTGCTCCTAATAAGCAGATACGAAGTATAAAACCTGTAACATGGTAAAAGGTCAACAATGCCTGCAGTACAGACAATTCTCTTGCCCTTTTGTTTTACAGCTATGTTTACAAGAAGCTGTTGCCTGTTACTTGCACAGAGATAAACCTTTCCCTTCAGTCACATGGAGGGAGCACAGAACTTCAAATTCCTCTACTGTAATAGGGAACAGACATTCTGCTTGCAGAGCAAACGCAAGGAACGTCCTCCTGTAAATTTTACTGTGCAATCCAACAGGATCACAGCAACAGTTCCTGATGATGCTGGTGCAAATGAGGGCCCATGGCTGACATCAAACAAGGCTTTCATGAACCAGTGACTGCAGACTGCACTAAAGCTGATGACAGCACACAGCCACTTTCACTTAGGCCAGGAAACCATCCTCCGGGGAACTGGAAGTGCAGAGCACCATGAACAGCATGGCCAAACAAGAGCTACACCCTGTATTTGGGTGCTGCCAACTGAAAGGGCAGCTTCACCTCCCCTGTGAACTATCAGCTCAGTGCACAGCAGCAGTTTAAAGGAAGTCAAATGTGTCTAGTGTCAGGACGTGGTACAAAACAAGTAGTAATAAAGAGAAAGTATGTTTATAGTCCCACGTGGAATTCTGATCCATCACTCTTTGAAGAGAACCTTTTCATATTGAGAAAGAGAAACAGTAGTGACTAAAGGTTCATTGTGGTCAAAGGTTCATTGTGAAATTGTTCTATTTTAAGTAAATCCTCTTGAAAATAAGCTTAAATGAAGTGAATAGAATGCCCTTCAGGTGCACATAGGACCCACAATAATAACTTCGGCAGAAATTGCTTTAATATTTTTTACATTTGTGCTTGTAATGTTTACATTTTCTTCTGTGTGTGAACAAAATGGTGCTCTTACATTTTCACCTCCAGATTTTTTTGGGGACATAGTCTAGTGCTAGTCTTGTCTTCATCCCCTGTTCTGAAAACAGACTACACTCTTTATATGTGTCATCAGCATTCACCTACAGTCTTGTTTACAGATATATTTATCAGAAGGCTTAAATCAAAACTTCATTTCTACAAGAAAATATCATCTCGATATAGACAATAGATATGTGTCCTGGAGGTTGGGTTTTGTGATTTTCTTTTTTCCCTGAGATTTTCTTAATTTGTTTGTTTGTTTTTGTTTATTTTTCTTCAGGTCAGAATTAGGCCATTCATGAAACCACCTTCTGCCGCAACGGTCTTGTTTCCGTAGCTTGGTGCCAGCATCAGGTTTTCTCTTTTTTAAACAAGTTAGACTGCAGGCCATCCTTACAATATAGCAGAATTACTAAGTTTCACTGCCAAAGATTGTTTTGTACCAGCTTCATAGTCCAAATACCTGAAGCTAAACTGTGCTTCAGCTGTTAACTTTTCTACTACTGCTTCTTGCATTCTGTGTGTTTAACTGCTGTTACCAACTGACCCTCACTACCTTTGTGGCAAAATCGAGGTCCCTAACACAGTGCGTGTGTGCCCTTGGGTGTTTTCTCCAGAAAGAAGCTGTTTGATCATTTATACTTGGCTTGTACAATATGGCCTGGGTAATGAGTGGTTGCTGTTTTTGAGGATTTAAAGCATTTGGAGAAGTTTGTCCAGGTAACCTTTTGTAACAGTAAATGGCTGTTTTAATAATGTTTGTTACTTCCAGAGGTCTTGACATTTTATCAGCTTAGAGATTAATTGCTTTTATTGTGAGAAACTGGCTCATTATGGTCTTGCTGCAGGAAGATAATGTAACTTTCTAGATGTGAAAAAAATTTCGACACCCACAGCACTTTTAAGAAAAATATTTTACAAGGAAATATAAAATAATGAATACGTTTTTAATTAATGATTCTTTGTTCATGGATCCTCTCACCTATTTTTTTCTTTCTGTTTTTCTCCCCTCTCCTTAGATCCAGGATATGAACATTTTAAGATAGCAGAAAAGTCCCATGGTAATTGGATCAAACTGTATTTAGAGGGCAATAACTCAGAAATACTCTTAAATCTTGGCAAAAAGGTCCTGAAGCAATATTTGGAGGCACTGAAGGCTCTGAGTTCTTCATTAAGCAAACAAGTGGCACAATATGACATGTATTCAATGATGGTGGGGACTGTGATCATTCTGGAGGTATGAAAATACATATTTTTGTGAAAAAGCTAAATGCACAGAGATAGAGGTTTCTGGCTTTTGACTACTTAGTATATACCCTTATTGATCTTTAGAATCACTGAGGACCTAACTCTTGGAGTTGGCTGGCTTTCTGTTTGGATGAGGTTAATACTCTTTTAACATGTAACTTGCCCTCTAAAATTATTCAAGAGAGCTTTTGATATAAGCTACTTGTATTTATGTATACTGAGCTACTAGGTGCAGTAAACATGTGGATGTGCTACAAGTTAAATTACTCCTATGTTAATTAGCCTTCTACTTTTTAAGTAGCCTTACTGCATTTAAAAAAAGAAAAAAGGTCAGACAGCTAAGTTCCTACATGTTCCCCTTTATCTAACAGTGCTCAGAGCAGACAATACCTTGTGTGGCAATTTTCATGATTTCAAGAATTGTTCTTTGTACTGATAGGTGAAGACCTGAAATAAACACTTGCTGTAGGGTGCTAGGTTGCCACTTCCTATCTCATGTAGGAATGAAGATAAGATATCCTGTCTGGAATTTTAAGTGGTCCTCTGCATTTGTTAGTGCTGGAGAATATCCTCTATGGTAATGGTTTGAGAACCATGCTGAACAGATACCATGCCTGGACACCAAACGTTTATATATAGAAGCTTGCACTGACCTTTTAGATGACAGGAGTGTTAATTTTTAAGAATAAACATTGATCCCTAGGGTGGAAACATCTGGCATAATTTACTCCTTGTGTATGGGTGGTGCTGTACAAGGCTGTAATTGGTGTAGCACTGTGCCTGTTCAGTGCCTTGGATGGGTAACAGTGCATTAGCAGCTGTTTATTAATTGAGTCTCCTATGTCCTGGTAGAGCTTTATGCCTCATCTCATATGCACTGGTCTCTGTGGATAGAGTACATCTGAAATGGCTTTCTGGTAGACTGCTCAGTGAGGGCTATGATTTTGCTGACCACAGGAATGTGTGCCTTTGGGAGATGAGATGTTAGGTTCTGTTGCCACTCTACAGACAGCAAAGCTGGAGGTGGACAAAACTCAGAAGAAAGCTGAAGTGCTTGTATTTCTTTTTTGTACCTTTGCTCTGGGAAGCTATGCATTCAAGCTCTTGACAGTTCCTTTGGACCTGAAACTTCTTTTTTTTCTCCTGAAAAAACCATTGTAGGTGCTTGCTGTTACTACAAAAGAGTTCTTGGGTGTTTTACTCAGTTGTCCTTCATCAAAAGAAGCATGCAGCTATTAACCATGAAAATTTTGTTTAAGAAGAGCTTGCTCAGCATTACTCTAAAACTTGCTGAAAAACTGCTGGAGTTTTTTGTTTTCTCCGGTGCAGTATTCAAGAAATTACCTTCCTTTCAAAATCTTTTTGTCTTCATAGGTATTTTCCACCCTCACTGAATAAATAAGAGTAGGGAATCTCGCAGGTGACTTCAAACTACACCTTGCTATAAATGCTGTGTGTCTGGTATTTCAGAAGAGGAGAGTACCTCTGGGCCATGAATTGATAACAGTGCATTTTCTAAAATTAAATTTGTAGATGGCTACAATTTGAGCATTTCCCTATCATGAGTGCTATCTTTGTTTTAATTGTAATGGATGTGTTAAAAGGTATGAGTGAAGCCAATCTGTACTGTGAAACCTCATGTTTTCGTAACCAAGTGAACCACATGAAGTAGAATGTGAAAACAAAGGAAGACTACTGCAATGCATTGGGGTTTTTTCAGTCTGCTTTTATTGTACCGCACTATATTGTGGGGAAAATTTTCACAGGTGACAGTGAAAAATCACAGGCTTGCAGTGGTCTGATTTTTATCTTAATATGTTTTAATCTTGCCCTAGCACAAGCTGGTTGAACTCAGTCTAGTCCTAGCTCAGTATGTGCATCTTGGGAAGTAGTTTAGTATGTGGCTGAATTTTCCCTTGTAAAGGTTTGTACATGATAGCAGAAATTACTCATGATATTACTCATCTCCACTACTACAGTTACCTGAGAATTCTGCCTGGTTTGCGTGCAGATTAGAGCAAAGAGAAAGTAAAACCAATAAATAAAATTAAGATGGTGAGAGGTACGAAAAATAAGTACTGTGAAAATTCATAAGCTTGAAATGCAGCATACACTTGTGCATCGTATGAAGACTTTTCCTGGTCTGTGAAGCTATTTAACTCAGCAGGATCTCTGTATATGTGTATCTCACACATTGGGAGATAAATTGCTTTGTCAGCATGTGCATGTAACTTTAGACATTTACAGCTGAGAAATAATGGGTCAAATCTGTTCACTTAGGAACTATTTTGGTATAGAGAGTTAAAGCTCTTACTTTTGCAGGGAACGAAGATCATGCACATGATCAGTTACCTCGGGTGAGGAGACATATGATAATTTAATAAACTCTGGTACCTTGTGTGCCCAAACTCTTAATAAATGAAAACGCAATCTTTGGTTCTCCCATCTATATGGTAGTACCTCACTGGGGACAAAAAATCCAACACAGTGTTTCACAGGTTTTTTTTGGTGTGAAGTATATGTAGTAGCAGAGTGACATGGATTACAACAGTACAATTTTTTTCTGTGAATTCTCATTGTGTGTTTGAGTTAACGTCATTTCTTTTAAATGTTAATTCTCTGTTTTATTTCAAGGTTCTGCTGTTGCTTTTGCTCAGTGTTCCAAAAGCCCTGAGCAGCCGGGCAGAATTTGAAGTGCCCCTTTCCCCCCTACTGTTCTCTCTGCTGTTTTACTTGATGTGTCTCACGCTGTGTGCAGTTCACGTCATTGTCTGCACATCGACAGAAAGTTTGTGCTATTTCTGCAGTATGTCCTGGTTAACAGCAGTTGGAGTGATGATGCTGATTTCTGCACTCATGTGCGGTATTCTATCTGCCATTGCAAAGATCTTTGAGAATTCCAGAATTCCACCACAGGTGAGAGCATGTATTAATTACAGTTCAAAATGTTCTGCTCTTTATGACATACTATCAGATAAAGTTTTATAAAAGTTTTCTCTGTGTGTACTTAAGTAAATTGTTATTTTTAATATAATTTACATAATTTAAAATTGTAATTGAAATGTGGTGTGTTCACTGTAGCATGATACTGATTGCTGTAATGAAGGTCACAGAAGTGCTTATTTTCACATTACATTAGTGGAAATTATTTTGCAGTTGATTTTATGAGATCAGAAACAGTTATTCTCTATACGAATTTTATGCTGTTACACAGTGATGTTTCGCTATTGTAATTAAAGCAAGATGTATGATACTTTGCGGCAACAAGCACCAGTAATGATCTGTCGTTTCCCAAATACCACAGACATTAATACTCTAAGACTAATCAGAGAAGACTTTGACAGTACCCTTTCCTATGCTGTTATTCTTAATGCTTTTTTAGAAATAATTTTGAAACTGTAACAGAGGGACCAAAATTAATCTATCATTTGTAAGTTCATTATTTTAATTTTTTTTAAATTTAAGAAATTGAGTTTGTTTATAATCTTTGGAATGCTCAGAAATGTTCTTGGTTGTGCAAGTAGTTACTTTCTGTAAAATATCTGGTGAGGGTTATTGTTGTATTGAATAGAATTCAGGTAGTTGCAAGGAAGTAGAATTTGCAGCGTCTTAACTCTTCTTTCACTGTGAAACTTAGTATGCCAAGAACTGTCACACCATAAAAACAGCTTCCACCTGTTGGGGTTTTTTTTTTTTTGATGCTTATTAGTCATATGTTTCAAAAGTCTCTGAAATTCAGGAACTTCAATGCACGTAGTGCTCTATGTAATGGTGCAGCCTCTGTGTAGTAGAGTCCTTTGTCAATCTGGTTTACTTTGAATTTTAGTACCTTTTTTAAGTGTGTGAATGCGTTGCTTTAATGGTATGATGACATATTCCTTTAGTCTTAAAAGAAAACTGTATGACATAGAGAAACATTTGATAACTTCTATATTTCAAATAATTTAGAAAATTCACTATCATGAGTGGAAATTAATGTTGTATTTTGTGATTCCAGAGCTTAATTATAAATTTAATTTCCTATAGATAAGACTCCTATTTTTTATTATTCAAACTTATATCAGTTTATAATTTTGGTTTTGTGATTTCTGAATTTGTGTTTTTCCTTCTTGGAGATGCTGCATTTATGAGAGAAGTCTTGGACTAAAAGTAATGCTCATCCTCTCTTGAATGCAACTTTTCCCCTGCTTCTTTTCTTCAGTGTACTGAGAGTAATTAAAAAGGGACTTGTTGATAGAACATGGTTGTTCCATTCTTGTGTTTTTATTTATTGGCCAGATAAGATTTAGGTGTCCTTGTTGATCATTTAGATAGCCTGAAATAGAGTAACAAGTTAGCTGACAATAATTGATGAAATCAAGGGAAGAACTTTCATCTCAAATATAGCTGCTAACGGAACAGTCTTTACAAGCTTAAATAACAGTTTGCTTTTGATACCGGAAATTTTTATGTCAAAGTAATGTTAATATTTTGCTGTCAAAGCTAGTTATGCTTGCGTGAGTTTTGTTTTAAAGGCAAATAAAAGAAGAGGGTGAAATCAATGGAAGTGGAGAAATCGTCTTAATGAAGTCCAGTACAGTTATCACTGTTGGTACTTTGGGGTGTGTTGGTCTTTAAATGGACTCAGTTCACTTCTGCCATTTCTGAGTTGTTTTGCTTGAGGGTCTTTATTAGCTTTCTCTCTTTTATTGTAAAGGAGGTTGAAATTATTCTTAGAAAAATAAAATAATATGGGCTTGAAATAATACTAATGATCCAGTGTATTCTGAGGAAACTACGTTTACTTCCTGTGCAAATGATAAACACAGCTATGGAAGACAAGCTCATTTTTCATCTTAATTGTTCCCAAGTTTCTTAATTTCAGCAAACAGTAAGAACTTGAAAATTAAGATTGTCTATATGTGCATAAAATTTACTGATTTGAAGAATCAAGAATTCAAACTCAATAGCCAGTGAGACTATTAAGCAGATACTCTTTCTTGCAGTGCTGGAAGACAAACAAGAATACTTCCACAATGTGTATTCACCCTGGCTTTGTCTTCATTCTGGTTATATGCATTCACTAAATACATATTTATTACGTTTCTATACAAAAATTGTTGTGTCTCCTGCTGTTCTAGGAACTATTTACATAATCATCTCGCTTTCCATTCTACTGTCTTTATTGCAGTCGGCTGTTAGTTGTTATTTTGTCCTGTCTTGCTGGTCGGTGAATGCCTTTGGCGGTTGTTTACTTCATCACTGCTCCTCCTCTTCTGTGCTTTCCGTGACCTTCTCCATTGCTTGACAGATTTGCCGGTCAGAACTGGCTGCAGTTAGCTGCAGGCCATAAGGTTCTGCCTTGAAGGAGGTGTTCCCCTTCCAGTTACAAGTTATCTATCCAGTTGCTACATTCACATTGCTAAGCTCAGCTAGTTTTATTACAGCAGCTGTATTAAAGTTTGTCTTTGTTCTTTCTTTCATTACAGATGTTCCACTTCAATAGAATTGGGAGCAATTACAACCGATTATAGCTTTCTCCTCCAGGTTGATAGTCTCAAAGCAATTCAGCCTGTCTGTGATGAGAAATCTTGCTGATATGGCTAACAATAAGTTAATTCCTTGTGCCACCTACTACTGGAAGAGTGGTTCTAAAGTGACTTTATATGACCCAGAAAAAATGCTTTTGTTCTAGGTCAAAGACTGGATTGTAGGAAGATGCTGCTATTTCTTGGCTATTATTAAATGTAGAATAGGGTGGTACCAGGTGTTGGCTGACAGGTAGAAGCTCTGCTGTTTTGGTTTGGCCTGAGTCTTAAGGTTTCATTCCCATCTGTTCTTGGCACATTCTCATCCTTGTTGTTGAGAAACAGCTGCTGGTGTGAACGACTTCCTGCAGGTGGCTTATGTATTGCTAAGACAGCTGCTCTGTCAGTGATCACAGCAGCAATTGCAAACCGTCTCCTGATACTCAAATCTTGAGTTGGGTGAAAAGGGTTTTCTTATGAAAGGAATTAATTGCTTTCTCCCTGATGGAGGAAAATAATTCCTGAAGGAACACATGGAAAGAAGCACCCATATAATCCATGCTATTCTGCTTTTGGAATGAATCTTTCTGAGGAACTTTAGAGGAGGAAGTGCCATTTCCATACCCATGGTCTGTTGGCCGTTTCTGATTATTTTAGTTAGGCAGCTGTGCCTCGGGAGCATGGACGGAAGTGAGTGTGAGAAGTCTTTATCTATCCCTTCTGTTTCAGTTGTCTTCCTTCATGACCCCTGCTTTCTTTGTACCTCTGCCTTTGAGGACAAACTGAGCAAAACCTCCCCTCCAGCTCCCTACATTCTGCATATGAGAGACCACTGCAGCTGGAGTTTTTTCTCTGATTGATGTTCCAATCTTCTATTGCCTGAAGAAGGATGTTTCAGCAGCAGCTTTTCTTTTTTCCCTCTTTGGTACCAATTCTGAGACCATCTGGAATTCAAGAAGTGGAAGAAAAATCCTTTCACAAGTGAAATTTGGTGTCACTGGCAATTACAATTTTGTCAATTTAGGACAAGTGTCACATAGTGTCTCTTGGACATTAAGATGCTTATTTTCATGTCACCTTTGAAAATAGCTTCTTTGGGCTGTAATGAAACAGTTATCGATTCAAGCATTTCCTGTTTGAGCTAGAAAGGTTGGGGAATATCTGAAATAGGTGCATACATGTTTTCGGGAGTTTTCTCTACCTCAGGACATAGCAGCAGATGATCAAATAATCTGCTTCAAGTTCATCATAATACATGAATGCGGAGGTTTTCATCAATGTTTTCCAGAAGGTTTGTGAGTTTGTTTTTCGAAGGCTAGGACAGGTAGAAATAATACTGGATTCTTCATCCCAGGTATGTGGGCAGCTGAAGTATGTCTTAGGAAGCGTAGATGATAGTCCTTGTGTTGGAGGCAGACATGACTTTTTATCCAGACCTGTACAAATCTGGTTTTTTCATCCCATCTTCAGTCCTTTTCTGTAGGTGACTGGATTACATCTCATCTCATCAGATAGGCTGTGCTGTCTCTGTTTAGTTCCAAAGCAAGCTTGAAATATTTTGTAGATTTAGTTAGTGTGTACATCCATTCCAGGCAAGTATAAAAGCAGTGACCTGGATTTCATTTATGGTTTTATCAGTCTCAGGGCTGTTACAGAATGATATGATAGTAGTTTCTCAGGTGGCTGCTTATACAAAGATAGAGCCTGGCGCGTGTGAAAGGTGCAGTGGATAATCTGGTGTTGCTTGCAGTATGGATGTGAGAGGTTGTTTACTGGTAACCGGGGCATAAACACTGTAATTCACAAACTTTCATGCCCCACCTTCCATCCTCTTTTCCGATAGAATCCCTAGACTTTGAGGAAGAAACTGATTGTCTGTATGTTCTGTGTGTTGATCTTCAAAGACCTTCTGTTTGAGTTAGTAGTATTACTTATGCTAAAATATCGTTTGAATCCAAGTGTCTGTGGCCTGTGCATCTCCACAGTGCGAATCTGTGTGTGGGCTCCACTTGTGAAAGAGCTCTGAAGCCCCACTCTTCTGTTGTCATGGGTAGAATCCTGAATCAGGGTCATGCCAGTTAAAAAAGTTAGAAGTCTTTTCTAAGCTCAGTCTATATGATAAAAAGTAATTAAGATAAGCTCTCCTGTTAATGGCTTCAGAGTGTTTTTCTTCAGATTGTTTCTGTTCACATCTAAAGATGTCTCTGAAGTGCTTCTCATTTGTAATGCTTTTTTTTTTTCCCACTGTGACTGAATATAGAAACTGATTACCACGTTCATGAATTTTCTGAAGACCAGTGCAGGCAGTGTTAGCATCTGCTTCCTAACGGTTATTTATAGGTTCTGATTACTATGTTTCTAGAAGCACCAGTCCCTTCTTTTAATGACACTTCAGGCTTTAAATAGTTCTGCAGCCATTTACGAATTCCAGAAAATCGTCAAAAATTTCAACTTCTTATTTGTAGCTCAAATCTAATTGATTGGTGTTTAACCAAGTATGGTATTTACTACTAGTAGTTG